ATGGGAGAAAATATTTGCAAATGAAGCAACTGACAAAGGATTAATCTCCAAAATTTACAAGAGGGTCATTCAGCTCAATATCAGAAAAACTAACAACCCAATCCAAAACTGGGCAGAAGACCTAAACAGACATTTTTCCAAAGAAGATATACAGATTGCCAAGAAACACATGAAAGAATGCTCAACATCATTAATCATTAGAGAAATGCAAATCAAAACTACAATGAGATATCATCTCACACCGGTCAGAATGGCCATCATCAAAAAATCTAGAAACGATGAATGCTGGAGAGGGTGTGGAGAAAAGGGAACCCTCTTGCACTGTTGGTGGGAATGTAAATTGATACAGCCACTGTGGAGAACAGTATGGAGGTTCCTTAAAAACTACAAATAGAACTACCATACGACCCAGCAATCCCACTACTGGGCATATACCCTGAGAGAACCATAATTCAAAAAGAGTCATGTACCAAAATGTTCATTGCAGCTCTATTTACAATAGCCCGGAGATGGAAACAACCTAAGTGTCCATCATCGGATGAATGGATAAAGAAGATGTGGCACATATATACAATGGAATATTACTCAGCCATAAAAAGAAACAAAATTGAGTTATTTGTAGTGAGGTGGATGGACCTAGAGTCTGTCATACAGATTAAAGTAAGTCAGAAAGAGAAAAACAAATACCATATTCTAACACACATATATGGAACATTAAAAAAAAAAAACGTTCTGAAGAACCTAGGGGCAAGATGGGAATAAAGACACAGACCTAGTAGAGCATGGACTTGAGAATATGGGGATGGAGAAGGGTAAGCTGGGACAAAGTGAGAGAGTGGCAGGGACATATATACACCACCAAACGTAAAATATATAGCTAGTGGGAAGCAGCCACAAAGCACAGGGAGATCAGCTTGGTGCTTTGTGACCACCTAGAGGGTGGGATAGGGAGGGTGGGAGGGAGGGAGATGCCAAGAGGGAAGAGATATGGGGACATATGTATATGTATAACTGATTCACTTTGTTATAAAGCAGAAAGTAACACACCATTGTAAAGCAATTATACTCCACTAAAGATGTTAAAAAAAATAAAATAAAAATTACAAAAAAAACCAGCTTTATTTGTGGACCTTGAAATTTGATTTTCACACAATTTTCATGTGTCATGAAATAGTCTTCTTTTAATCCACCCCACCCCACCACTGTCACTTGATAATGTAAAAACCATTCTTAGCTCATGGGTCGTATAAAAGCAGGTGGTGGACTGAATTTGACCTATAGGCCATCGTCTCCTGAAATCTGACCTATTATAACATATTCTCTCCAAAACTTTTACCTTGAATGCATCAGGCCTTTTACTATGACCTCCAGTTTTGTAGGAAACACCATGAAGAGAGGAATAAACTAAATTACACCATGAAGATGCTACCACACAATTCCAGAAAATGGGATATTCTGTTAGTCTGGTTTCTTTACCAAATGGGGGTCATAAAAAAGGAACTGTGTTAGATGAAAACGGACTTTAGGGACATCCCAGCCACATGTAATTCACGGATCTGGACTGAGTCCTGGCTTAAACAAACTGATCACAAAGGATGTGTTGGGATTATTAAAGCCTGAATATTTGAGATGAAAATTTACTGAAGTAGGAAAGGGAGGACTAGTGACAGAAGGAAGCAGGCTACAGACATTACGTATACTACTGTCTCCTATTGGTTAAAAAGTTTACTTATTTCTAAAAGCGCAGAAAAAGATTTAAAGGCTGTACACTGAGGTGTTAACAATGGTGATCTCTTTTTAATTTTTTAAATTTGTGCTTGCTGTACTTTCTCATTTTCTGTTATGCACCTATACTGCTTCTTATAAAAGGTTCATTTTTAAAGAGAATTAATAAATCTTAAAAAAAAAGCTCATACTGTATAACACGAGGAATATAGCCAATATTTTACAACTATAGAGTATAACCTTTATAAATTGTGAATCACTATATTGTATATGTGTAACTTATATAATATTGTACGTCAACTATACTTTAATTAAAAAAAAAGCTCATACAAGCTCACTGTAAAAAGTTTAATCACAGAAGGAGACAGGAGAAAATGTGAAAAAACTTTTACCTCTGCCCCACCTGCACCCTCACGCTTACTAACCAGTTAACATGGTATATATCCTTCTAACTCCTTTCTTTGTTTCCACAAGCATATATATATACATACATGTATACATATGCACAATCTACCCATTCTTTCTGATGGCTTCAAAGTGTCCATCACGGAAGGATCCAGGTATTTCATTTAAGTAATCCTCTACAGACAGCCACTGATCTTGTTTTCCGTTTATGGACATTATAAGCAACGATGAACTTAACATCCTCTGACACACACACATGTATAAGTATTCCCACAGAACAGATTCCTGGAAGTGAAATTATTGGGTCAAAGGGCACATACATTTTAAAAGTTTATAGATACTGCCAAAGTGCCCTTTTAAAATGATTTACCAATTTTCATTCCCATCAAACGTGCACAAGAGCACTTATTTCCCTGACCGCTTACCAAAACTGGGGGTTACCAAATTTTTACTTTACTTTATTTATTTCTTTTTTTGGCCATGCCACGTGGCATGCGGGATCTTAGTTCCCCGACCAGGAATCGAACCCGTGCCCCCAGCAGTGGAAGCGTGGAGTGCTAATCACTGGACCCCCAGGGACCTCCCACCAATTTTTAAAAATATTTGCAAATCTCACAGATTTGACTTACTACTAAAAGTTGAACATTGTTCACATGTCCATAGGCAGTTTGCATTTCTTCTATAAATTGTTTGCCCATATTTTCTGGCCAATATCCTATTAGAATATTACCTTTTTTTTTTTTTTTTTTGTGGTACGCGGGCCTCTCACTGTTGTGGCCTCTCCCGTTGCGGAGCACAGGCTCCGGACACGCAGGCTCAGCGGCCATGGCTCACAGGCCCAGCCGCTCCGCGGCATGCGGGATCTTCCCGGACCGGGGCACGAACCCGCGTCCCCTGCGTCGGCAGGCGGACTCTCAACCACTGCGCCACCAGGGAAGCCCCCTAGAATACTGATGTGAATACTACTTCTACTATATATTTATTTGTGTGTATGTATCTTTTAAAATTGTTTATGAAACTCTAAGAAGTTTTAAATTTCTATGTGGTCTAAATACGTCAAACTTACTCTTTGCTTCTGGGTGTTTCATCTTATGAAGGAAAAGTAAGTTTTTCGTACCCAAGATTATAAAACTTTTCTCCTGTATCAGGTTCTCTTACAGTTTTGATTTTTATGTTTAGATTTTTAATCTATCAAGAACTGATGTTTCGGGACTTCCCTGTTGGCGCAGTGCTTAAGAATCCGCCTGCCAATGCAGGGGACACGGGTTCAAGCTCTGGTCTGGGAAGAACCCACATGCCGTGGAGCAACTAAGTCCATGCACCACAACTACTGAGACTGTGCTCTAGAGCCCGCGAGCCACTACTACTGAAGCCCGCATGCCTAGAGCCTGTGCTCTGCAACAAGAGAAGCCACCGCAATGAGAAGCCCGCACAATGCAACAAAGAGTAGCTCGCCACAACTGGAGAAAGCCCGTGCACAGCAACAAAGACCCAATGCAGCCAAAAATAAAATAAATTAATTAAATTTAAAAAAAAAAGAACTGATGTTTCATGTAAGGCAAGAATCTAACTTTACTATTTTCCAAAGTGATAGCCACTTGTCTCCATATCATTTATTGAACATTCTGTTTTCCTCAATGATTTGAAATACCACCTTATCATTTATATATCTTCATATGTAAGTATGATACATATGTGTTATAAACATACACAGATATATATATACATATATACATATACGTAAGTATATATAAAATATGTTTCTAGATTCTTTAGCCTGATGCATATATCTGCATTTCTCTGTTGCTATGCCAGCCCCAAATTGCTTTACTCGCTTAGCTGTATAGCCTGTTCGATATCTGGTGGGGCAAACTTCATTGTTCTTTTTGAAACTTTTCATTGTTATTATTACAGACTTACTCTGTATGTACAAGGTCCTATTCAAAGAATATTCAATTATCAGGTGACTATAACAAGTAAGATAATCAGTTTCTGTCCAACACCAAAACAAAGTCATCTTCCTTGTTACCTTATAAAGTTCTAGAGCAATGCCAGCAGCCATTTTTCCTCCATAGGACTCTGAGAAAATGTAGAATGGAATCGTCTAGGAAGAAAAGGAATTGACAAAGAATTAAATATCCTGAATGTCTTTTAATTCACACGAATCAATTTCAAATTTCTAGTGCATGTAATGGCCAGACAAAACAAATCTGCTTTTGTTGATCTTTCCTCCCATATCTGATTATGTTTAGTTAGAATACTGGCTGCAGGGTCGTTTTTTTCAAGCTAAAACCACCTTTAGTGATGACTGAAACAGAAACCCACAATCTGATCCTGGGTGCAAAAAGGTTTTCTCTGGAATCAGCTAGGCATGTAACTCTCGGGGAAGTTTGCATCTGATGGATGCAGTGCTGCAACTGCTAGCCCCCCTCTGAGCTTGCTTACCTGGAATTCTTTGTGGCATTCAAAGAAAGTCTTCAGGAGAACCATCATGTCTGATGCCACCATGGCCAGGTCTTTGGTGTACGCGTCACTCTTGTTCACATAACTGAACCCGGTGCCCACTGGGTTATCCACAAACAGGAGACTGGCCGACTGGAGCTACAAGCCACAGAGAAAAGTCAAATGTTGCAATCAGGGGCTTCCCTGGTGGCGCAGTGCTTGAGAGTCCGCCTGCCGATGCAGGGGACATGGGTTTGTGCCCCGGTCCGGGAAGATCCCACATGCCACGGAGTAGCTGGGCCGGTGAGCCATGGCCGCTGAGCCTGCTCGTCCGGAGCCTGTGCTCCGCAATGTGAGAGGCCACAACAGTGAGAGGCCTGCGTACCGCAAAAAAAAAAAAAAAAAGTTGCAATCAGCCAGCCAGTCACCAACTATCTTTTGATCACCTTATATGAGCTCAACAAAAACCACACATGTGAGGATATCAGTGTGGTTATGATCTGTTACTAAAATGGATTAAAAAAAAAAAATTGGGGGGCTTCCCTGATGGCACAGTGGTTGAGAGTCCGCCTGCCGATGCAGGGGACACGGGTTCGTGCCCCAGTCCGGGAAGATCCCACATGCCATGGAGTAGCTGGGCCGGTGAGCCATGGCCGCTGAGCTTGCACGTCCAGAGCCTGTGCTCCGCAATGGGAGAGGCCACAACAGTGAGAGGCCCGCGTACCCCCCAAAAAAATAAAAATTTGGAACAGGAACACAGACTAGTATAGCAAAGAAAGGCAAAGAAAAGGAGAGGCAAGAAGGAAAAATTAACATATACACAGGGATCGAAGCATCTAGGCTGTTACTTTCACACACTACAAATATCCTGAATGTAATTCATTCCTGCAGGTAGAACCATGCAGTGTCAGTCTGAGCAACAGCTCGAAGCAGTGAGAGGTCGGAATACCACACGTCTGTTTTCTTCAAGATGAATCCAGTTTCCACATTGGCCTGGCTTTGCTGAACACTACAAGAACAGAATTTATTCTAATACCTTTCCCAAAGAGGTTTAGAGTCATAGAATTTTACATCCCGAAGGATCCCTAGTGATGACACACTACAGCCATGTCTTTTACTGATCAGGACATTAAAGCCCAGAAAGGCCCAGGACTTGTCCAAGGTCATGAAGTTGGATAGGTAATGGCAGCATCAGGACCAAGGCCCACATCTCCTCACTTCTTGTTCAGGCTCTCTGCCCCAGTCACATTACTCTATTAGTCGTGGGAGGCTTGGGGACAAGCCAGTGGGATACTCTGCTACTGGAAGTGAGTATGTGAATGTTCTAGGCTGAAGGAACAGCATGTGCAAAGACCCTGAGGCAAGAGTAAGTAAAATGCGCTTAAAGAAGACCAGTATGGAGACAGACAAGAAAATCAAAGGGCTCAGAGGGGATCTTCAGATGGAGGTGCTCCCGCACTGAGTCTTAGAGGTGAGTGTGGTGAACTAGGTGTGACCGGGTGACCAAAGGAATTAAGTCCAAGCCCAGGAATGGCCCACGCAGAGGCCTCAAGGAAGAGTGCACATGGAGAGAAGCTGGGAGGTGTGGCTAGAGGTAGCAGGAGGCAGTTTATGCCCAGGAATCTGGATCCGATCTTTGGGGAACTGAAAGACGGTAAACTAAGGAGTGATTGGCACTGGAGGGTTTCACTCAAGCACCATGTGGGAAGTGGACTGCGGGTAGAGGTGGGGGCATTTTGAAAGCACCCATGAGAGGAGACGGAAAAGGGGTGGATGAAGAATATTAACAACACTTGGGTATTAAACATAGAGCTACCATAGGACCCAGCAATTCCCCCTGCGCCCCGCCAAATTGGAAATAGGGGCCCAAACAAATATTTGTACGCTAATGTTCCCTGCATTATTCACAACAGCCAAAAGATGAAAACAACCTAAGTGTCCATCAACAGATGGGAGAGCAGCAGAGGAGAAGCACAGAGCAGAGGGTGGCCACCAGCTGGGAGCAACAGCCCCACCCTGCCCACTGGTGTGGTTTTGCCCACCAGTGTTTGGCAGCCTGGAGGAAGGGGCTGAGCAGGTGGACAGGGGGACTGACCCCAGGCTGGGCGTGGTAAGGATGCGGAGGAAGAATGAGGGAACCAGGGGTGGGGGTTAGGTAAGGAAGTGAAGCGAAGAATGAGGGGGCGGGGTGAGACAGAGAACTACAGAGACATCAAAAGGGCAGAGGACAAGGGGTTTGAAGTCCTGAGGAAGACAAGAATCGAACTAGGAGAGTAGGAGGGGAAAGGACTGCAGGTTGTGGCCAGAAGGTGGGACCCTGGCGTCTCAGACTGCGGGGATGGCCAATATGTGGGTAATGACAAGGTCCAGGGGGTCTGCTAGAGTAGACAGAGGTTTCTGCAGGCAAGTGGAGAGAAAGATCACCGAATTGGGAAGGTGACCAGTGTGGGATAAGCTGTCCCAAGAAATGGAAGAGGCTGGCCAAAGAGGAAGCCTGTGGACAAATACGCAAGGTCCCCCTGGATACAGAGGAAGAGGGAGGGGCGTGGAGTGGGATCGCTCAACTTGTGACGCCACCCAGAATGGGGTAGGGCTGGGTGGGACTCAGCCTGGGGGAGGCCACACGGAAGTTTGAGTTCGAGGCCTTCCTCACTGTACCCAAGTAGTTCTTCGTGGTTTGAGATCTCTGTCAAGGGGCCCGATTTCCTCAAAGTTCCCAAATCCAGTGCTGGAACCACCTGGACCACCCTGTGAAAGCAAAAAAACAAACAAACAAAAATAAAGTCAGAGAAAATGTTAGTGAAACCTTTGTCACTACAACAATGACCCCATTCACTATAAACAATTTATGAGTCAGTGATGGCTGGGTCAACCTTACACACAGGACACAACTGATCCAGTGTGTGCACTATCTGAGCCCCCTGGTAACTGCTCAAGTCTTTCTAAAAAAAGGAAGCAACCAGGCTAAGAGCCCCCAGAGGGAACGTTCCTACCTCTGATTCTCTGAGCTTGAGCCTTGGCCTCATGTGGGGTTTGCTGAGCTCAAAACATCTCGTCCAAACCTCTCCCTTCAAAGATGAGCAGTATGGCCCAGAGAGGGAACGTGGCTCCACCAGGACTGGACCCGGGGCCTTGTGACTCTCCACCACCCTCTCCTCAGTGTCCCTGAGGATTTACAAGGGACCCAGACTGAGGGGCAGTTTGATCAAGATGATCCCCAGGATATAACATAGTAAATGCGGAAATCCCAGGGCAGGAAGCACTCAACACTGTGGGCATCCAAGGCCAGGGGCGAGGCAGGATTCTGAACAGAAGCTCAGTGCTGGGGCCCCAGACTATGGGAGGCAGAGGTTCTATGGTTTCTAAGGGTTAAGAGAGGGGAGGAGGTCCTTCAGGAGATGGTCAGGGCTAAGGATTGTCAGTGCTTTTCTGGACAAAACCTCAGGGGTCAGCTGAGCCAACAGGATAGGCTGAGGGCCTTGAATAAAAGGATGCTGTCTCCCTGTGCAAGATGGATAGGAAAGGGAGATACGCAAAGATGGAAGGAAACAGCTCAGGCAAAACAGAAGCCAGGGCAATCTGTACAGGGAAATCTAAAGGAAAAAAAAGACAACATAGAGTCAGGGCTCAGGGGTAACTAAATGACCCCAACAGAGAGTTTATGAAACTATTGAATGTTTTGAACTGACACCAAGCTAACTATTATAAAACTGGGAGGCTATAAATCCCTCTAAAAAATGTCCTCACCATCGACAGAATGAAAAGACCTATGGAATGGGAGAAAATATTTGCAAATGATACGACCAATAAGTGGTTAATATCCAACATATATGAACAGCTCATATAACTCAACATCAAAAAAACAAACAAGCTGATTAAAAAATGGGCAGAAGAACTCAATAGACATTTTTCCAAAGAGGAAATGCAGGTGGCCAGCATGAACATGAAAAGATGCTCAACACTGCTAATCATCAGGGAAATGCAGATCAAAACCATAATGAGATATCACCTCACACCTGTCAGAATGGCTATCAACAAAAAGACCACAAATAACAAATTTGGCGAGGATGTGGAGAAAAGGGAATCCTTGTAACACTGTCAGTAGGAATGTAAATTGGTGCAGCCACTGTGGAAAACAGTATGGAGGTTTCTCAAATAACTAAAAATAGAACTACCACATGATCCAGTGATTCCACTCCTGAGTATATACTTGAAAAAAACAAAAACACTAATTTGAAAAAATACATGCACCCTAATGTTCATAGAAGCATTATTTACAATAGCCAAGATATGGAAGCAACCTAAGTGTCCATCAACAGATGAATGGATAAAGAAGATGTGGTATATATATACAATGGAATAGTACTCAGCCATAAAAAAGAATGAAATTTTGCCAACTGCAGCAACATGATTGGACTTTGAGGGTATTATGCTAAGTGAAATAAGTCAGACAAAGAAAGACAAATACTGTATGATGTCACTTATATGGAAAATCTAAAAAATACAACAAACTAGTGGCTGTAACAGAAAAGAAGCAGACTCAGAGATATAGAGAACTAGTAGTTACCAGGGGGGAGAGAGAAGGGAGCGGGGAATGTAAAGGAAGGGGATTAAGAGATACAAACCACTATGTATAAAATAAACTACAAGGATATATTGTACAACACGGGGAATATAGCCCATATTTATAGAACTATAAATGGAGTAGAACCTTTAAAAATTGTGAATCCCTATACTGTATACCTGTAACATATAATACTGTACACCAACTATTCTTCAATTTAAAAAAAAGCAAAGCAAAAAACAAAAACAAAATAAAATAAAATAAAAGCAAGGGTCCTTGAGTGAAAGCTGGGCCCCTTTTTCCTAGTGGACTTACTGGGCTGGGATAGGACCAAAGTGAAAGGAGAGAAGCTGGAATCCTAGAGGTATGGTCTTTGTGGGAGAAATCCCATTCTCCTGTTCTGGTCTACTTGATAACATACCACTGCGAAATCTCTGTCTAGAACTTTGGGATGGGGGTACTGTCATGGCCCGGGACTATGCAGTGACTCTGAAATATGGCAGGTGTGTCCAAGGACAAACTAAAACGCTTAAATGACTTGAAAGTGTACCTAAAGCAGCACACTACATCGCTCAGAGCTACTCCACTCAGATGATGTGACCTTGATTCCCAAAGACCTGTCCAGAGAAGTCAGTGCACGGATCCTCAGTAGGCTGCTAAGAGAGATCTCCTTTTAACCTGAATTAATTATTTCTTCCTTAATCATATTCTTTTCCCCTTCCCTTGGGCCTCTGAGGAGATGAAGAACAGGACAGTTAGCCAGTTGAAAACCATCGAATAGCATCTCAGCTCACAGAAACCAAAGGTCACAAACTGCATGGTCTTGAGGGGCCAGAAGTACACCACACGGAGGAGAGAGGGCAGGTGGGTCCCCTCCCCCAGAAGCTCCTGCCTGTGTGCAAGAGGGCCCCCACCACTCGGCTCCGGGATAGCAAGTTCAGGCCCCAAGTAATCGCATCTCCTGGTTTTTGGAAAAAGGAAGGAAATGTCTTGATTTGTAAATGTTGGCAACTCATTCAAATAAAACAACTGCCCTACTCTGCAATCAACCAGAAGGAAGGTTTGCAGTTTCAGAACTTCAGTGGTTTTCAAATTGTGCTCCTGGAAGCCCAGAAAATACCTGAGGGGCAGCATGTGACAAAGGGGAGGCTGAATGGGTGGGACCTGGCACTCCGCCCCAACCTCGGCCCCAGCGCTTCTTTCTTCTGCTTTGTGGCTGGTCTGCAAGCTTTCACGTGGGAGTGGAAGAAATTCTGCTGATTAATAAAAAGTTTGAAAACCGCTGAAATCCCGCAGACCAAAGCCCAGAGAAGGGCAGCGTTGTGCCACGGCTCTAAGTGGCAGGAAGGCAGAACTGGGCTTGTCCGCTGCACGGCTCTCCCTGACAGCCCTGCCACAGCTTCATCTCCAGCCGCCCAGGATGCACAAAAGCTCCCTGGGCCACACAGACGCGTTCTTCTGAGACATTTTCATATCTGCACTCTCGGGCTGAGCCTCACCCCAGCCTTCAAAGAAAATACTTGCGATAATCCCAAGAGAGAAAGGCCCCTCCATGCAAACTGCTCTTCTTATCTCATCAGAAAGCCTGTATCCACTGGTCTGGAAGGCAAAGCTGGGGGCACTGGGAGGCTGCTTATGAATAATGACATTTCTGGAGGAAGTGACATTTACATCCCATGGGGGTGAGTATCAGGGTGCCCTATTTTTTTTTTTTTTTTTTTTTTCGGTATGCGGGCCTCTCACTGTTGTGACCTCTCCTGTTGCAGAGCACAGGCTCCAGACGCGCAGGCTCAGCAGCCATGGCTCACGGGCCCAGCCGCTCCGCGGCATGTGGGATCTTCCCGGACCAGGGCACGAACCCGTGTCCCCTGCATCGGCAGGCGGACTCTCAACCACTGAGCCACCAGGGAAGCCCTAGGGCGCCCTATTTACTGGTGAGCAACCTGGCGCCCCAGCTGGGCCATGCCTACAGTTTCCAGGAGGTGAAGCAAGACCGCATTCCTCAAACCCTCCCTAGATCTTGGTCTTCCAGGTGGGTGTGGGCCACCTTTGTACAGACATTTTAGGAATGAAAGGAAGGAAGGATCCTCTGCCTACCCTCAAATAATTTCCAACCAGTTTCCTGTCTTCAATCCTACCACTAGAGCTCAAGATTAAAAATGCAAACACTCTTTAGGGAGGAGGATAGGGCCCAACACTTAATGCTAAGATACAAAAGGCTGAGTTCTTTCAAAATATCAGTTTTTCTAGGGGCAAGGAATTCAGGCCTAGGAAAGGACTGGGAGGGGAGGGAGAGGAAGGGCTGGTCAGGGTACCTCAGTCTTTGCTTTGGAACCTTCCAGAAACACTTTCTGTCAGCATATTGTCAAATGTGTCTTCAGGAGCTTCCAGTAAGGGTTCCTACTGCTGCCTGTGCTGGGCTCAATAGAAAAAGACCCCCGTAAAAGGCTAGAACCTCTCACTCTCTGATTTGGCTTCCTTGACAGTACCACCGCCTTTGCCTGCCTCAGAAGGACGCTGAATCCCCAAGCCTAGGAGAGCCCCAGCTGGCTGCTGGACCACATCAGTTCTTCACTGCTGAGCTGTGAGCCTTTAAGGGCAAGCAAGGTGGTAAGTGGGGGAAACCTGGCCTCAACCTCAGGGCAGGCAGTGAAACCAATTTTACCTGAAGCCACATGACCAGGGGCAGTTCTGAGAAGTTCTTGCTGGGACTGGTGGCATAATAGAGCCACCAGAACATGTGGGCGTCCTTCCGGACAGTCACATAATCCCATACTTCCTTGCCCTCTTTTGTGGGCCAGCTGATGACAGCTCCTGAAACAGAAGCACAGTTTGATTTTCCGGAAGAATGTCTATGTCCAGTTAAATTCCCAGCCCAGAAGACATGGCTGGGTTAGGCTAGTGATGATTTGGCTTATACTTCAGACAATTTATTTACTCCAATATATTGTGGAGATAAGGAAAAAAAAAACTCAAAAAACTCAGCTATGAAAAAACATACCAAACTTAATAGTGGCACAGGGGGCTGGAGGCTTTCACGTTTTCACCTACACCCTCTGTAATGTTTGGATTTTTAACAGAAGCATAAAACGTGTTTATAATTGTTTAAAAGAGAGAGAGAGAGATTTACACTTGGGCGAAAAAAGAAAAATCTCAAAATGCAGCACGTTGATTTTTGTTCCTCATTTAATATACAATTAAAGAAGCATCATGGGCTTCCCTGGTGGCGCAGTGGTTGAGAGTCCGCCTGCCGATGCATGGGACATGGGTTCGTGCCCCTGTCCGGGAGGATCCCACATGCAGCAGAGCAGCTAGGCCCGTGAGCCATGGCCGCTGAGCCTGTGCGTCCGGAGCCTGTGCTCCGCAATGGGAGAGGCCACAGCAGTGAGAGGTCCGCATAACGCAAAAAAAAAAAAAAAAAAAAAAAGAAGCATCGCAAGTTAGTGGGGCAAGATTACTCACTATATTACTCTGGGGCAACTGTTAGATTTTTGAAGAAAAAAAATAGAGATGTAGGTTCTTTCTTAACACTCTAAACCAAAATAAATTCCAAGTGGATCAGATATTTCAATTTTAAAATTTAGATGTGAAAAATAATATGAAAATAGAGTTGAAAGCCTTTTTGACCTCTGGATGGGGAAACGATTAAAGCATACCCTAGAGACTATAAAACAAAATATCAAGAGTTGAGGACAGAAACTTGTTACATTTCTGTACAACAAAAATAAAAGGCAAAACAACAAAGAAAGGTCGGCAACAAATATGAAAAGGGGTATTTCCTTAATCGTTAGACCAACTAAAAAATGCAAGATCCTTGAAACAATCAAGATAGTTGTACAATATCTAGCACTTACCAGGCATTCAATAAATGCCCCAGCTCGCCGCAACTAGAGAAAGCCCGCGCGCAGCAACAAAGACCCAACGCAGCCAAAAATAAATAATAATAAAATAAAATAAATAAATTTATATTAAAAAATCGGGGGGGCAACCTATTCGACAACATTTCCCAGACAGAAGCCGAAGGCTCATATGATCCCCATTTTACAAAAGGGAAAACAAGTTAAGCAACTTGCCTAAGATCACAAGGCAAGTTTGTGGTTAGTTCGAATTCTCAGTTCTTGATTCACACCAGGGTTCATTTTGCTTAAAGAAAAGACTGAAAATCAATTTGCAAGTCATCCCATTAAACACGAATTTGTTTTTGCCAAAAAGGACTGCGGTGAGGGGACATATTATCTTGCCTGTTCTGATCAGGTAGAGGGAGAAAGGCTTACTCGCAATTAAACGTCCCATTCGTGGTAGGATTTTTCAGAGTCTTGGTACCGTGTGTTTCAGCTCAAAATAAAAAGACGTAATAATCTCATTTAGCAGCCAATCACGGCAGGAAAAGGGAGGTGGCCTTAAGATTGCGGAACCCTCGTTTATCAGCAGCTTCTCCAAATCTTACATTTTGCAAAACTGCTTCTATCTACACGCAGGGAAGAGACAAGGCAGCAGACCACCCAGAGCCAGAAAAAAGTAGAAAAAGAACTTTGAATCAGGAAAAAAAAAAAAATAGAGTGAGGCTCAAAAGCAAAAATAATTACGCAAAGTAGAAACAGGGGAAAAGGAATATGCTTTGAAAAGCACAAACCCACTAACAGATTCTTATCCCTAAAGAAGAGAAGGAGGCACCGGCCGCTGAAGCACTTTTGCCCGAACCTACCCGTGCTCAGGCCCAGGAGCAGCAGCAGCAGCGGCACAGGACAACTCCGCGGCGCCAGCTCCATGACGAATACCGCGCGGCAGCGGCAGCTACGAGCCGGAACCCGCGCTTCACGGTGACGGGCTGGGCGAGGCCGAGCCGGGACGGGGGCGGAGCCTGGGCGTCGGGGCGGGGCCTGGGCGTCGGGGGCTGGGGCGGGG